ATTAGATAAAAATGCAGCTGAATTTTGAGTAACCGCTCGTTCCTAAATATTCCTGTTCAACTGAGAAACCTAAGAAGAAACTAAGCGAGACCTGAACAGAAGAAGTACTGCAAATTAAGTCAAGCAAAGCCAATAGCCCTCTTCCACAAGATGGAGTGGTTGCGCTAATTTCTGTAATTTCAACTGATAATATAACCTTTGGTTTGTTCAGTTTTGAATCTCGTTAACTGTTTCAAACTCAACAAAATGTGAAAGGCCCCTACGACAGCCGCAGACAAACCTAACTGCCATTTCAACAAATATAATTCATTGTACCTCTACTCCAAAATTTTTTTGTGGCATTTTATTTAAAACAAAGGCTATTAAAACTACTTGTTCTAAATAGAATCTGTTTCCCAAAAAAAAAGTGGCGAATAATTTCCAGAAGTTATCTCCTCTCCTTGCGCACTATTTTACATCAAATTAATTATTCCTGATAACTGAGCGACCGATATAAGGAAATGGTGATGCGATTAGAAAAATAACAAGATATAAGTATTGAAACGGCACACGTATTTCTAAGGATGACGTGTTCACAAGATAGTGGAGCATAACAAACTTTCTTAAAAACTTCAGAAAAACGCCACAGCAAAATATAACAAAGAATAGAAAATTAACAAAAAAGCGAAAGAGAAACACCATGAAAGGATAATTTCGTATGAATACAAATACAAAATTCCACTTAATCATCAAAATAAAAAATATAAGTTCAAAGAACAAACATTCTGGACGAATAATGACAGCACAAACGAAAAAACCTCAAAGACTTTAAAACAGAAGAAACCCAAAAAAAGAAATAAAAAATCTTCAAAGCCATTCGGTTTTGCAATTTTAAATGAACAAACGGAGCAGAGGAGATGAACCTTTCAGGCCACGGTTCACCTCAAAAATTAGTCTCCCAACTTTTCTAAAATATGTTGATCAGACATTTGCCTACTATCAAGAACAGAGTAGCCAACACTGTCGACGGTAGAATCCTGTATTTACAAAAGGACAAAACGAAATAAACGTATTCAGATAATTAATTTGGCTCTTGGGAATATTCTTCCAACAAAGAAGAAAAATTCTTTTCAAAATGCAGCAATATGGAAGTTGTGCAACATTCAAGATTTCCGCTACAACTTCAGCAAGCCCTAACACTGGCAAAAAATTTTACAAGGACCAAAAAAAACCTCTATAAAAATAAGGAATCTAATTCAAACAAACATGTGAAAAAAGCCCAACATGACATGACAAAGAGTAAAAAAATTGCCTCTTAAAATATGACACATATTAGGAAGCATGAACTTCACACATATTGTTCGTTGTTATGAGCCAGAAATCCATTCTTACGGCTGAAAAATGTCAATAGCAACCCAGGTGCAGACATGTGAAGCTGTCGACCTCAACAAATGTCGCGTACTTCTAAAACTAAACTACATTCTTCTAGAAAAAAAAAATGTCCTAAAAGAAAGCCCTATGGTTCCAGAAAACCGCAATTGGATGTATAAAACAACAAAACATCAGACACTTGAAGCTTTAATGCAATTTAGGATATTAAAACAATGAAACTTCAACTACATTTAACCTTTAGCAAACTCTACAAATGTGAAGAGGTTAAAAGTAAAGAAAATCAGCATTAAACTCAATCGTTCTCGAAATCAAAAAAAAAAAGTGCTGCAAGAGATGAGAACCTGTAATTTTGAATCGTTGGGAATTGTTATTTTATAACTCTATCCTGCAAGTACAGCGGCACAATAAAAAGATACTGAACAAAGGACAGCTCAAAAAAAAAGAACCAACGATAAAAAATTAAATCGGAAACACATTATGCCTGAACTTCTTTAGCGCTCTGACTGACTGGGTTGCAGATAATGGTGCAGAAGTCTCAATTACATCATCTTCAACCTACAAAGAACTCAAAAGTGCTTAACACTTCGTCCCCTTTCAATGCTTATTTCTATATGCTGAACTGACAAAGCCAGTTAGGATTTTTGATGAAATAGACCAACGGCAGTGGCGAAGCTCAATGATTAACGACGACAGCGGAATAAAAGCATCATCATACCCTGAATGGTAGGCAACAACAGTAGAATCATTAAAAAAACGATTAGTTCAGCTAACAATCAAATACGGAAACACAATTAAAGTGAAAGCAAAAACAAAAAAGTAATATAACGCCAAAGCAGATGAACAAAACAACAATGAACCTTCTAAACGCAACTAATCGATGCATAAAAACCTCATTTGCTCGCCCTAACTCCAAACAACATTGAAAAAGTGGTATTCACTTATTTCGCATTTAAAATCAGTTCAACAATTTTAGACAATACTATTAAAAGGTCTTCTGCACATGTAAAAACAACGAGTGGAACTAACTGATTCGTAAAGCGCAATTCTATAGGCAAACTACTTCGGGAAGTAAAGGCTGCAAACAGCATGTTTAGCTCCACTTAAAAAAATGAAATAAAGATTAACTAAAAAATCAGGTGAGCCAACAGGAAAAGCCAGAATGAGAAATACAGAAAAAAGCAGTTAAAAAATCATCCGATATATATATATATATATATATATATATATATATAT